ATATATTTATTAATAAATTTTCTAAATTAAAAAACCTCTCTACATTTCAAACATTTCATTTCTAAATGTAGGCTACTAAAACACAAACAAACAAAAAAATCCAACCACATTCCAAACTAAGTAATAAACAACTGAAAAAGATAAATGCACAAAATGTTTCAACCCACCAATTTTTTTCCTGTATTCTTTGTTTCCAACATGAGAAACCAGTGTTTTTTTAGATGCCCCCCTCCAGAACTCTGGCTCTTTTCGTCTCTGTTTAGTTGATTAATCATATAATTCCACTCAGAACTATGTCTACTACTACTCCAGGGGCAACCTCCTATCAGCATGACTCGCTTAGGCTGTGAAGTAGTGTGTCTCTGTTGGGTGTCCAGTATAGAATGGCATTCACTCAAAAAGTTACAAAAGTACTAGATACTTTTCTTTTTTTCCCCTAATATGTCCATCTTTATCTTTTTGAGTTTTTTCATTATTTCTGCTTTTGGTGTTCCATTTGCATTTGTTTGCATTTGCATTTGTTGTAGGTTGCTTATATTTCTAAATTCTCTCTGCTTATGTGTGTAATTTACTTACATCACTGAGAGTTTCAACTCCTGCCAGTTTGGAACAAAATTCAAATTTTGAATACCTCATGCACAGAAATCAACACACCCCAATATTGATTTCAGGGTTCAAGGACTGGCCAATAGAGTCGTCTGCTAAGCTAACAAAACCAAACCAAAAACAACCAGCCTCATCTAACAGAATTAAGGAAAAAGCAACTAATGAAAACCAAGAGCAACAAAACAATGCAAAGTATGGCTGATTCTTAATTACCTAGTATTACAATTTATATACCCCCAAGTATAGTTACAGCAATGCAAGATGCATGTGAAATTCTACCATTCTGATTTAAATAAATATAAATGACACCACAGGTTTGGCGCACAAGAGAGTCATTATACAACTGATACACAGAATTTTATCCTCACCTTTCCAGTAGACTTTGTTCCTTTCCAAATGCAAAAATAGCAGATAGTCCAAGCAGCAAGGAGGCACAGTGCAAGTTCCCAGCGAAGATTCCCAATATGTTCAATTCCATCAGATATAGCTAGCACCCTTCGTCTTCCAAGGGAAGAAAATCAAACAAAAAAAACAAAAGATAATATGAAGCAAAATGGCACTACATATAGAACACTGGGCTAAAACCAAATCAGCTTCACTCAAGGACACTCCTAGTTACTGACTACTGAAAATGCACCACACTAAGATAGAAGAGACAGAAGGAAAAAAAATCATAGAATCTTTTAGGTTGGAAAAGACCTTTAAGATCATCCAGTCCAACCATTAACCTAACACTACCATGCCCATCACCAAACCAATTAAGGGTAGACTAGCAATTTCATGTTTCCTGCGTTGGTGGCTGGATTATTTTTTTATGAAAGCAGAACTAGGAATCATTAAGGTTGGAAAGGACCTCTGAGATCATCAGTCCAACTGTCAACCCAACACCACAATGCCTACAAAACCATGTCCCGAAGTGCCGCATCTACCCGTGTTTTTGAACCTCCAAGGATGGTGACTCCACCAACTCTCTGGGCAGCCTGTTCCAATGCTTGACCACTCTTTCAGTAAATTTTTCCTAATATCCAATCTAAACCTCTCCTGACGCAGCTTGAGGCCATTTCCTGTCATCCTATCACTTGTTACTTGGGAGAATAGAATATTCTCAGCAAATTTTACATCTGGTTAAAAATGAACAAATGTTTAATTATTCCAGGTTAGTGACAAAATAAAAAAGATTTTACTTTATACAAAAACTATTTTAAAAGTCAAAGAAAAAAAATTATTTGAATTAATAACTGACATATATAAGCCCAAAATAAAACACTTCAATAATAAATGTTTTTTTCAATTTTACTGTTTATTCAGGAAAAAAAGTTCTAAACTTTATTTTTACCTTGTAACATTTCTTTTCATAAATTTCCTTTTGTAATTGAAACTGTAATTTTAAAACATTTATTTTCAAAACTGTCAAACATCACGACATTTTTCAGATAGATTTTATTCAGGAAATGTCAATATTAAAATTTAATGTTTTAAAAACAAACAAATTTACTTTTTTTGTGATAAGCAGTTAGCAAAAATATGTATTGCATTTACTATTTGAATATAGTGTGTTTGAAATACTAGCCACTCAGTTCTAAAAACATAAGTCCTCTAAAAACACACCCCTCACAGCTCACAGCCCGGGGCCAAAGTATTTACTAACTTAGTAAACAAGATAAAGACAGAGAGTAAAGAGGTTTTGGGTTTTGTTGTTTGTTTGTTTGTTTGGGTTTTTTAAAACAAGAATTTGGGAACAGTAAAATCAAGTGAATTGCTAGTATTCACACAGGAAACCTGCAGAACCAGGCTTCAATGCTAGTTTCCAGAAATCTGGGCTACCATTTTATTCACAAGAACAATTTTTTTTTTTTTTTTTATAAGAATGATGCTCTTATCTGGGAGATGCATGTCCTTTTATGCCCTTTTATTTTTACTTTAAATAAACACTCAGATTAAACAAAATGTAAATTATTTACCAGCCTGTAAATAAAATATGGGTACGCCTGGTTGTATGGATGAAGAGGTTAAAAGCAAGAGCAAAAATTTATTCATATAACACTCAATGATTTCATGAATTCTCTTGAGATTTTTCAATTGCTCTTAAGCCTGAAAGAAAGCTGACAGATAATTAAAAGACTTCTTTTCAGGAATCTCAATTTTCCAGAAAAATAAAAGTATGATTTAACTGGTACTTGAGGACAGAAGTTGATAGGATTTTAAATTCCATAGATTCAGAGATTTGGAAACACCTCATCATTTTTAAACAACTTAAAGCAAGAAATTAGTCATTTACTAATTATATGTGCAGAATAATTTATTTCAGTCATTCATGCCTTTTATCGGCTTAACCAAATCTCTATAGGGACTGGTCACCATGTGTGTTTCCATAAACATATTTGCACACATATACACATTCACATAAAAATTTCCAACATTCAACCATACATAAATTATCCTGAGGAAAGTTGTCTCCTAAATCTGTATTAGATGTTATCTATACAACCTCAGAGACCCTAGACTTACACTACCCTCCCTCCCAGGGACATTGTGAAGGAAAACAAATTAACTGAATTTCACAGGCAGTCTGATATAGTTAAAAGATCTATAATAATAATAATCACTGTATTATATATATAATTAATATGCATATAGTTATACAGATAATGTAATGTAATTAACTACAATAAAATATATTTAGGTTAAGGGTTGAGTATTAAGTTAAAAGAACTCCAACTGACAATTACCCCTGTGAAATAATTCTTCCTTTTGCATTTGAATTGGTCATTGGCCAAGGTGATGGAGACATCAGCAGCTGGTGATAAGGTGGGAAAATTAAAAGATCTATCACCAGGTCTTTCAGATGGCCATACAGATGCTGCAGAACCTATTCAATCTTTCACACATTTCAAGAGCTGCAGCTGCTGTTCCTGCTGCAGCCCTGGGGTGCAGCCATTTACAACATATGTGCTAAAAGTTTACTGCTTAGCTAAGGCAGGACAAAATTTAACAGGTTAGAGGATAATCACAAAGAAAAACCCCAAACCCTGAAGCCTGAGGTTTGTCTTCATATTTTCCAATGAATATAGAGGTAGATCTTTCCACTTAAAAAAAAAAAGGGGGGGGTGTGGTGTGAAGGGCGTTACGCAAACTTTTGCGATAGAAAGTGTTATGTGCTCAAATGTAAAATTACTGCCACCTCATGCACACTTCCTCCTCATCCAGTAACTAGCTTTATTCTGCAAAGTTTCTGCCATCATCTAGTTAGGGAGAGAAGTGCTCTAGCATGGAAGACCCTCAGCTAGCTAAGACCCGCAGAGACCCTAAAGAACTGTCATCAAAATGCGTTCAGAAATAGAGAGGTAGCTTTTAATGAAGGATATATTTTAATCAAGAAGGGGAAGCACTATTTTATATATGCAGTCTAGAATTGAAAATAACATCATTGAGCCACAATTATACAGAAAGGCTGATGAAAGAGATAGTTAAAATTCAAGTTCTTCTAAGCAATTTGACAGACAATATCATGTGGAATTTGACTTAGGATGACATCCACCTTCACAAATTCTCATTCAAAAAGCAAAGGAAATCCTTGAATTCTTAGCTCACCTTGAATATTAGGGTGTTACTTGCAAGACAACCAAGACAAAAAGTGGTATAATATGATTAAACATGGTCTATGCAATAAAAGGCCAATGAGTGTGTACTGATAACAGGCTATGTATAACCATGTTGAAAGACATGTTAAGAGTGAATAGTCCACCACAGAAACCTGATGATAAAGCAAAGAACAAGTATTTGCAAAGAGATCTATCTTGATTGCAGGTACTAAAAGGTTTCTTTTTAATGAAAAACATTTTATAAATGGACTAAAAAGCCTCAAACTGTAAATTACTGTCATGGAAAAGAACTAGACAATAAATATCTTAATGTTCCTCATTTGGACACCAGTGTTTCTGTGCAGAGCCTACCATGCCAACAACCTTAACCCACCAGTAAGATTTCTGCTCTGCCAGGATTTAGGAGGAACAACTTTGACAAATGCAGCTGCTAATACCAAGAAAACGTTGTTGTAGAGTAAACACTCTGACCTTTTGCAACCCTAGGAAAAGAAAGCGGCATAATATCAGCCTGTTGACACATAGCGTAATGTATGGTCAGCACATCTACACAGTATATACCAGCAATATGGAAACCACATAGTTTTATTGCAAGACTATACATATCCAACCTTTCTGCAATGACATAAGTGTACATTACCTATAATTTCCAGTTTATAGCTGCAATTGATTTTTTTTTTTTTTTTTTTTTGAGACGTATTAGTATACTGACTTAAAGATGCAGGTTGGAAAGAGATTGGTCCAAGTTCAGTTTGAACTTCACAATCAGATTAAGTGAGAGAAAGTCATAAGACAAGCAGGGGCAGCCTAAAGAATTTTAATTGTTGTTTTGCTTAAAAAGGTTCTAATTTTTATTTTCAAGTGGCATACTACATTTAAAAAATAATAGTATTTTTTTTAGATGAAAAAGAAAACTAAACCAAGAGAACATACAATAATAAAAAAAAAATAAAGAAAATATTTGTGTTTGGGCCACAATAATTGCAAAATGGAAACTTTTTTCATTTAGCTTTATTTTCACTGACAAATAATAATGAACAGATTTCCTTATGTTTCATAGAATCATAGAATCATTTAGGTTGGAAAAGACCTTTAAGATCATCCAGTCCAACCATTAACCTAACATTACCAAGTCCACACTAAACCAATTAAGGGTAGACTAGACTAAACCGTGTCCCAAAGTGCCTCGTCTACCCATTTTTTGAATGCTTCCAGGGATGGGGACTCCACCACCTCTCTGGGCAGCCTGTTCCAATGCTTGACCACCCTTTCCGTGAAGAAATTTTTCATAATATCCAATCTAAACCTCCCCTGACGCAGCTTGAGGCCATTTCTTCTCATCCTATCGCTAACCACATGGGAGAAGAGACCAACACCCACCTCACTACAACCTCCTTTCAGGCAGTTGTAGAGGGCGATAAGGTTTCCCCTCAGCCTCCTCTTCTCCAGACTAAACAACCCCAGTTCCCTCAGCCACTCCTCATAAGACTTGTGCTCCAGACCCTTCACCAGCTTTGCTGCCCTTCTGTGGACATGCTCCAGCACCTCAATGTCTTTCTTGTATTGAGGGGCCCAAAACTGTATTCCACACAGTATTCCAGGTGCAGCCTCACCAGTGCTGAGTACAGTGGGACAATCACCTCCCTGCTCCTGCTGGCCACACTATTCCTGATACAAGCCAGGATGCTGTTGGCCTTCTTGGCCACTTGGGCACACTGCTGGCTCATGTTTCAATCAAACCAATTTTTTCTGGTTGTTTGGATGATATTTATGTACATGTGCACCTAAACATAAGTAGCATTTCTTTCCCAAAATGCAGAGGTGTGAACACATGTAAGATGGCTGCAGTAACGCAATTCAATGCTATGGAGAAATTAGTAAGCTTATTCAGCTACTGGA